AACTCATCAGACTGCAGCAGGAGGCTCCACATTTAAAAGTATATGGGCAACATAAATTGGTGTAAAAAAAGTAAAGAAAAAGAGTAGCATTTGCTGCCATTAAAGTCTTAGACCCACCTGCACCCTCCAGAAGAGGTGAGCGTGGGGCCTTCTCCAGCCCACCTTCTACCCCTCCTTGGAGTCTCCTCACCCAGGGACTGCATATCACTCCTCGGATATTCTTGGGCCTGTCCGTCGAGTAGAGTGGACCTGCCCAGACAGGAAGGCCCACCCTAAGTCTGGCCACACCTCACTCTTGGTTCACCCTCCGCCCTTTGCTTAAGGAGACCATGGGAGAGGGAGAGACCCTACCTGCACCCACTGGAAGAAAGGGTGGGAAGATGATAGTAGAAGAACACATTCAACAACAGAAAGACTGATATGACACCACCAGAGCCTAGGGATTCTACACCAGCAAGACCTGAACATCCCAATACAGATGAAGAGAATGACCTCAAAAACAACTTCATGAGTCGGGTGATGGTGGCGCACGCCTTTAATCCCAGAACTCAGGAGGCAGAGGCAGGGGGATCTCTGTGAGTTTGAGACAAGCCTTGTTTACAACAGCTAGTTCCAGGACAGCCTCCAAAGTCACAGAGAAACCCTGTCTCAAAAAACAAAAACCAACAACAAAAAACAATTTCATGAAGCTGATAGAGACCCTCAAAGAGGAAATGAGAAAATCTCTTAAAGAAATAGAAGAAAAAACAAAAAATGCAAGAAATGGAGGAAAAGACAAAAATGCAAGAAATAAAGAAATGATGATAAATGGGCTGAGAAAGAGATTAGAGAAACATCACCCTTCACAATAGCTACAAACAACATAAAATATCTTGGAGTAACTCTAACCATATATGTGAAAGACCTGAATGACAAGAACTTTGAGTCTTTAAAGAAAGAAATTAAAGAAGACACCAGAAAATGGAAAGATCTCCCACACTCTTGGATCGGTAGGATCAACATAGTTAAAAAGGTAATCATACCAAAAAAAAATCCAAAATTTAAAACAAAAAAACCTACAGATTCAATGCAATCTCTATCAAAATCCCAGTAGAATTCTTCATAGACCTTGGAAGAACAATATTCAACTTCATATGGAAAAACAAAAAACCCAAGATAGCCAAAACAAGCCTGTGCAATAGAGGAATTTCTGGAGGCATCACCATCTCAGACTTCAAGCTCTATTTTAGAGCTGTAGTCCTGAAAACAGCTTGGTATTGGCACAAAAATAGACAGGTAGACCAATGGCATCAAATTGAAAATCCTGATATTAGCCCACACACCTGCTAACACCTGATATTTGACAAAGAAGCTAAAGTTTTACAATGGAATAAAGAAAGCATCTTCAACAAATGGTGCTGGCATAACAGGATGCTGACATGTAGAAGACTGCAGATAGATCCTTATCTATCACCATACACAAAACATAAGTCCAAATGGATCAAAGACCTCAACATAAATTTAGCCTCTTAGAAGAGAAAGTGGGAAGTACCCTTGAATGAATTATTACAGGGGACCACTTCCTGAACATAACACCAGTAGTACAGACACTGAGATTGACAATTAATTAATGGGACCTTCTGAAATTGAGAAGCTTCTGTAAGGCAAAAGACACAGTCAACAAGACAAAATGCAGGCTACAGAATGGGAAAAGATATTCACCAACCCCACATCTGACAGAGGGCCGATTTCCAAAATATACAAAGAACTCAAGAAGCTAGTCACCAAAGCACCAAATAATCCAATTAAAAAGTAGGGTACAGGGCTGGAAGAATAGTTTAGATGTTAAAGGCTAGGCTTACAACCAAAAGGTGGGGGTATTAAACTAAATAGAGAATTCTCAATAGAAGAATCTGAAATGGCTGGAAGACACTTAAGAAAGTGCCCAACAAAATGGATGGAACTAGAAGAAACCATCCTGAGTGAGGTAACCCAGTCACAAAAAGACAAACATGGTATGCACTCACTCATATATGGTTTTTAGATATAGAGCAAGGGATTGCCTGTCTACAATCACACTGCCAGAGGAGCTAGAAAACAAGGAGGACCCCAAGAGAAGATTGCATAGTCCCTCGAAGAAGTGGGGGGGCAAGAGCCCCTGAACAAAGTGGAGCACGGGGGGGGGGGAGGAAAGAAGGAGGTGGGAAGGGGAGAAGGGGAGGGGAGAACAAGAGGACTGAGACAGGGGAGGAATAGAAGAGGGCAAGAAAGGAGATGCCCTGATAGAGGGAGACAGTACAGGTTTGGAGAGAGGTCTGGCACAGGGAAAATGTTAGAGGATCCACAGGAATAACCCCAACTAAGAATCCAGGCAGTGGTGGAGAGGATACCATTGATACCCTTCCCCTATAATGAGATTGGTGTCTACCTTGGTTACCATTTGTAGAGCCTTCATACAGTAGCTGTTCAAAGCAGAAACAGGCACCTACAGCTAAGCACTGAATCATACTCCTGGAATCCAGTTGTGGAGAGGGAGGTGGGATGAGCAAAGGAGCCAAGATGGTACTAGAGAAAGTCACAGAAACAGTGGACCTGACCTACTGAGAGCATGGAGACCCTAGTCATAAAACTGGGGAAACAGCATTGGACCAAACCAAGCCCTCTGAATGTGGGTGCCAGCTAGAAGGCCAAGGCAGTCTATGAGACCTCTAACAGTGGAGCCAGCATTTATATGTAGAGCACAAATGGACTTTGGGATCCTGTTCCCTATGGAGGGATACTATTGCAGCCCAGGTACAGCAAGGAGGGCCTAGGCCCTCCCCCAAATGATGTGACAGACTTTGATGGTCCCCTGTGGAGGGCCTCACTATCCCTGGGGAGGAATTGGGAAATGGATTCGGGGGGTTGGTGGGGAACATGGGAGGATGGGAGCGTGAGGGAATGGGGAGATGGATATGTAAATATGAGTAGTAATTAAAGAATAAAAATGTTCCCAATAAAGAAGGAAATTAAGAAAAAAAAGTGCTCAGCATCCTTAGCCATCAGGGAAATGCAAATCAAAACAACTCTGAGATACCAACTGACAGATACCTGTCAGACAGCTAGAATCAGAAACATAAATGACAATTTATGCTGGCGAGGATGTGGAGAAAGGGGAACACTCCTACATTGCTAGTGGGAGTGCGAACTTGTAAGACCACTCTGCAAATCAGTATGGTGGTTTCTCAGGAAAATGGGAATCAGTCTACTTCAAGATCCAGCAATTTCACTCTTGGGAATAAATCCAAAAGAAGCACATTTATACAACAAGGGCATCTGTTCAACTATGTTCATAGCAGCATTATGTATAATAGCCAGAACCTGGAAGCAACCTAGATGCCCCTCAATTGAAGAATGGATGGAGAAAATGTGGCACATTTACACAATGGAGTACTACTCAGCGGGAAAAAAAAAAAAACAATGAAATCTTGAAATTCGAAGGCAAATGGATTGAACTAGATGAAACCATCCTGAGTGAGGTAACCCAGAAACAGAAAGACAAACATGGTATCTACTCACTCATAAGTGGATATTAGACATAGAGCAAAGGATAACCAGCCTACAATCCACAACTCCAAAGAAGCCAGGAAACAAGGAGGACCCTAAGAGAAACATAGATGATCCCATGGAGAAGGGGAATGGGACAAGATCTCCTGAGCAAATTCGGAGCATGGGGGAAGGGGGGAGGGAGGTAGGAGAAAGAGGAGGGGAGAAGAGAACATGAGGGATCAGGAAAGTCTAGTTGGGAGGAGAATAGAGAAGGAGAGCAAGAAAAGAGATACCTCAATAGGGAGAGCCATTATAGGCTTAAAGAGAAGTCTGGCACTTGGGCAATGTCCAGGGATCCACAAGGATGACCCTGACTAAGAAACTAAGCAATAGTGGGGAGGCTACCTTAAATGCCCTTCTCCTATAAGGAGATTGATGACTACTTTAAATGCCACCCTAGAGTATTCATCCAGTAGCTGATGGAAGTGGAGACCCACAGCTAAGCACTGACTGAGCCAAAGTCCTGGAATCCAGTTGTAGAGAGGGAGGAGTGATGAGCAAAGGGGTCAAGATCATGCTGGGGAAACCCAACTGGTGACCTGAGCAAGTGGGAGCTCACAGATCCCAGTCTGACAGCTGGGGAGCCAGCATTGGACTAAACCAGGCACCATGAAGGTGTGTGTCAGTTGGGAGACCTGGGCAATCTATGGAGCCTCTGGTAGTGGAACCAGTATTTCTCCCTAGTGCACGAAAGGGCTTTGGTAACCCATTCCCTATAGAGGGATACTCTGTTAGCCTAGACACATGCGGGAGGGCCTAGGTCCTGCCCCAAGTGATGTGACAGACTTTGATGACCCCCCATGGAAGGCCTCACCCTCCCTTGGGAGTAGATGGGGGTGAGAATGGGAGGACAGGAGGGAAAGGGCACTGGGATTGGTATGTAAAATAAGATTGTTTCTAATTTAAATAAAAATTCATTAAAATTTAAAGACCCATAAAATGATTGAGTGTATATATGATAAAAAGAACTTATAGCTATTTAATTTCCTTGAACTTACTTTTAGAGAATAAATTTCCAAGGTTTTCCCATCCTTTCATGTACAAGATAGATCTTAATCTCCATTCATGGTTTTGGCTGAGAAACTATAGATCCCTAAGAAAATTCACATTGTCATAATACAACATGTTTGTATTTTTATCATGTATGAAAGCATTAACACTTTGACATTTTTGTATGTCCATAAACATTAATATTAACCTACAGGAAGAAAATTCATTTTGGGGGATTTTAGGCTGTATGATCTGTCAAACTCTCTTTAAAGTTTTCATGCACTCTCATGAAAGAACTAATTACATACAATTAAAGTTCCAGTGGAATTTCCTCGATAACTCAACCACTTCTTTCCATCAAGACTATACATGATGATAAACTGTGAGATGTAGAGGCTGGAAAATTTCTGACGGGCACCCTGAGTCTTGATGCCATGAATAATCATTGGTGTCAACAGATCTACCTACCAATTAAAACAACAACTTATTTTATTGGTTTTAAAGTGCATATTACACTCTGAAAATAAGTATTTATTGTTATTATATATATATATATATATATATTATATAAGTTATCTACTTAGGAAGACTCTAGTGCTACAAATTACCTTGCATGGTAAGGGGAAGCAGGCACCAGTGTTGAAATATGAACATGTATGTAATTAAAGCCATGTAGGAAAGATATTTATTGAATTATCGATTTCCTGGTAAACCAGGTCACTTTCAAATCACTGAGTCATTTCCTCCTCATATACATCCATGGGGCTGCACACAGAAACCAGAATGGTCTAATGCTTTACCAATACTTTTGCACCAACTAAAACTAATTTCCTCCCCTTCCTAGATAGAACTATCTCTGTAATACTATCAGGAATAAACCATTATTGTAGCACGAATTCTAATTGTTATTAGCTGGGGTTAAAGCTGAAGATCAGAGAAGCAAAGCAGCCAGCCACTAGAGAGTTCTCACCTCTACAGGCGGTCCTGTCCTCAGACTGCATCTCCAGACTGCATTTGTCTCCACCAAACCTGAGACTGCACTGAGCTCCTGTCTCCTCCCACTTTATATTCCTTTCTAGTGCTGGGATTAAAGTTGTGAGATACCGAGTACTGAGATTACCTGTGAGTGAGCTCTGTTTCTCTTTTAGACTGGATCAATTTCATGTAGCTCAGGGTGGCATTGAATTAACAGAGATCTGTCTGCCTCTGTCTCCTGAGTGTTGGGATTAAAACTGTTTACCATCACTGCCTGGTCTTTATGGCTAACTAGTGTGGCTAGCTTTGCATTCTGATCTTCAGGCAAGCATTATTTGTTAGATCATAAACAAAATATCACCATACATTATACCTCTTTCAAATGTTAATTGAAAAAAATATTTTTCATGCTTAGTCTTCCCTGACTCAGACAAATTAAGTACTGCTTTACCTGAGTTTCTACTTCATGTTATATATAATACCTTTATTCTAGCAAATTATTGTACTACATAATAAAGGTGCTTTGCTTGTCTTCCTCTCTTATATTGGATTGAGTTCTTCTTATGTCCTTGTTTATATGTAAAGTGAAGGTAATGTTTATCTCGAAGGATTAAAGAGGTAATAAATGTAATATGATGAATCTAATAACTAATACACACTAATAAATAAGCAAGTATTTCATCTATCTCTGGTATCTAACATGGTAGTATGTAAATGTTGATACTTAGAAAATGTTTTGGAGCCAGGCGTTGGTGGCGCATGCCTTTAATCCCAGCACTCGGGAGGCAGAGGTAGTCAGATCTCTGTGAGTTCGAGACCAGCCTGGTCTACAAGAGCTAGTTCCAGGACAGCCTCCAAAGCCACAGAGAGAAACCCTGTCTCAAAAAAATGTAAAAAAAGAAAATGTTTTGGGTCTGGGTTACCTCACCCAGGATGATTTTTTCCATTCCATCCATTTGGCTGCAGATTTCATGATGCCATTGCTTTTTTTCTACTGCTGAGTAGTACTCCCTTCTATAAATGTTCCCACTCATAAGTAGATATTAGAAGTAAAGCAAAGGATAACAAGGCTATAATCCACAACTCCAGAGAACTATGTAAAAAGGAATACCTTAATACCTCATTTTGGCCAAAGAAGCTAAAATTATACAATAGAAAAATGAAAACATCTTCATCAAATGGTGCTGGCATAACTTGAGGTTGGCATGTAGAAGATTGCAAATAGATCCATATCTATTTCCATGAACAAACCTCAAGTCCAAGTGTATCAAAGACCTCAACATAAATCCACACTGAGCCTCATAGAAGAGAAAGTGGGAAAGTAGCCATGAATGGATTGGCACAGGAGACAACTTGCTAAAAATAAAATGCCAATATTACAGACACTGAGAGCATCAATTGATAGATGGGACTTCATAATACTGAGAAGCTATTGTAAGGCAAAGGACACTGTCAAGAAGACAAAATGACAGTCTACAGAATGAAAAAATATCTTCACCCACACCACATCTGAAAGAAGGCTGATTTCCAAAATGTACAAAGAACTCAAGAAACTAGTAACAAAAACACCAAATAATCCAATTAAAAAGTGGTGTACAGATATGAACAGAAAGTTTTCAACAGAAGAAACTCAAATGGCTGAAGGACATTTAAGGAATTGCTCAACACCCTTAGCCATCAGAGAAATACAATAACTTTAAGAAACCATCTTACACCTGTCAGAATGGCTAGAATCAAAAACACCAATGACAGCTTATGCTGGAGAGGATGTGGAAAAGGGTGAATACTCCTCCATTGCTGGTGGGAGTGCAAACTCATACAGCCACTTTGGAAATCAGTATGGCGGCTTCTCAGAAAATTGGGAATCAATCCACCTCAAGACCCAGCAATACCACAAGGACATCTGTTCAACTATGTTCATAGCAGCATTATGTGTAATAGATAGAACATGTAAGCAACCTAGATGCCCCTCAACCAAAGAATGGATAAAGAAAATATGGTACATTTACATAACAGAGTACTACTTAATGGTGAAAAACAATGACAGATTGAAATTTGCAGACAACTTCCCCTATAATGAGATTGATTACTATCTTAAATGCCATCCTAGAGCCTCATCCAGTAGCTGATGCAAGCAGAATCAGAGATACACAGCTAAGAACAGAGCCAAAGTCCTGGAATCCAATTGTAGAGACAGAGGAGTGATGAACAAAGGGGTCAAGACCATGCTGGGGAAACCCACAGAAACATCTGACCCTAGCAAGTGGGAGCTCATGGACCTCAGTCAGACAGCTGGGGAACCAGCATACAACCAAAGCAGGCCCCCTGAACGTGGGTGTTAGTTAGGAGGCCTGGGCAGTCTATGGGGCCTCTGGAAGTGGAACCAGTATCTATCTCTTGTGCACAAATTGACTTTGGGAGCCCATTCCCCATGGAGTGATATACTCTCAGTCTAGATACACAGGGGAGGGCCTAGGGCCTGTCGTGAATGATGTGACAGACTTTCATGATCCCTCATGGGAGGCCTCACCCTCCCTGGGGAGTTGATGGAGTTGGGCAGCGGGCATGGAAGGATGGGAGAGAGAGGGAACTGGGATTGGTATATAAAATAAAATTGTTTCTAATTTAAATGAAAATTATATAAAAAAAGAAATTTGCAGGAAAATGGACAGAGATATAAAAAGAAACAGAGAGAGGTAATACAGATACAGAAAGACAAATATGGCATGTACTCACTCATATGTGGATTTTAGACATAAAGCAAATGATAACCAGCCTACAGACCACAACCCCAGAGAATCTAGGTAACAAGGAGTACCCTAAGAGAAACGTACATGAATCTGCCAAGGAAGTGGAAATAGACAAGAGCTCCTGAGTAAAATGGGAGTATGGGAGGGAGGGGAAGAGTAGAAGGGGAGAGAAGAGGAGTGAGGAGGTGTGGTGAGAACAGGAGAGAATGAGATGTTCAAGTTGGGGGAAGGACAGAGAAGGAGAGCAAGGAAAGAAATATCTTGATAGAGTGAGCCATTATGGGGTTAACAAGAAACCTGGCACTAGGGAAATTCCAGGAATCCACAAGGATAACCACAGATAAAACTCTAAGCAATAGTGGAGAGAGTGCCTGAACTGGCCTTCCCCTGTAATCAGATTGAAGACTATAGTAATTGTCAGCATAGAACCTTCATCCAGTAACTTATGGAAGCAGATGTGGAGATCCACAACTTACCATTGGGATTCCTGGAATTCAGTCAAAGACAGAGAGGATCAGTAATATGAGCAAAGGGATCAAGATCATGATGGGGAAACCCACAGAAATAGCTGACCCGAGCTGGTAGGAGTTCACTGACTCCAGACTGACAGTTGGGGAACCTGAATAGGACCTAACTAGGCCCTCTGTATGCAGGCGACAGTGGATGGCTTGAGAAGTTTGTGAGGCCACTAGCAGTGGACCAACATCTAACTCTAGTAAATGAACTGGCTTTTTGGAGCCCATTTCTTATGGAGAGGTACCTTGCTCAGTGTAGACACAGGGGGGAAGGGCCTTGGTTCTGCACCAATGTGGTGATGGGATAGACTTCATTGACTCCCCATGGGAGGCCTAATCCTCTCTGAGGAGCAGATGGGGGGAAAGGTTAGAGGAGTAGGAGGAAGGGAGGGGAACTGGGATGGGTATGTAAAGTAAAATAAAAAAGAATGCCCCCCATAGGCTCATTTAATTGAATGCACAGTCATTGGGGAGTGGCACTACTAGGAGATGTGGCCCTGTTGGAGTAGGTGTGGCCTTGTTGGAGGATGTATATCACTGGAGGTGAGCTTTGGGGTTTCAAAAGCTCAAGCAAGCCCCAGTGCCTCTCTCTTCCTGATGACTGTGGATCCCGATGTAGAGCTCTCAGCTCCTCTTCCAGCACCATATTTGCCTGCATGCTGCCATGCTTCCCAACCATGATCATAAAATGCAATAAACCTCTGAAACTGTAAGCTAGCCCAATTAATTGTTTTCCTTTATAAGAGTTGCAGTGGTCCTGTTGTCTCTTCATAGCAATAGAATACTGACTAAGACAAAATACATATTACTATGATCACTTGACTTTTTGTTTAATGACCATCTTCTGTTGATTATAAGTAACATTCATATAGCTACCCATTAAAAGAATATTTCTAGTGTTTACTATGCATAAAACATTTATAAAAAAAGAAAGAAA